AGAGGAAGCCGTCTTATTGCTGGTCAGAGTAAGTGTGGATTAAGCTCCATGTTGTCGTTTCACTGGCAATGAGTTTTCAGCATCTTAAGGAGCAAAGCTACGCATGTTGAGACAGAAAAGAGGCCACTGCAGCGCTGGCTGAGGAAAGCTGGGAGCTACAGACCCTTTTTCCTGTCCCAAAGCACTGTGTGTTCTTAAGTACAGGTCTTTCCAACTGCCTGACACCTTTCAGCGAAGATCCTCCAATCTGGAGGTTTCTGAACCGTAACAAGAGTAGTGATGGACAACTGTCTTCTAGGAAAGCTTCTGCACCATCACTGATCTTCTCACTGGAGATACTCTGATATGGATCTCCAAAGGAGCCCCAAATGTCCTGGGACACCTCTTGCTAACACACACATCTAGTGCATTACAAACTAGATATAAGGTATCATTTAATAAAGAAAGAAGGAAGACACCAGACCGAGTTCTTTGAAAAAGCAAAGAAATAACAAGAATATGGACCAGTTAGGTCCACGGAAACCAGTAAAGCAAGGCTCTTTGATGTCAACACACCTACATCTTCCATTTAGCACATTTCATTAGTACCCAAAACATTTGAGATTATGAAGAATGCATTTGCCTATACCGAAACTGAACACCATTTTAAACAAATTGATTGCTGCTCCCCTGTGGGAAAAATTGACTCTACTGTTACAGAGGGAGGTACAGAGAAGTAAGTCCACTGCACCAGCAATACTTAAAACTAGTATTTTTTCCTTTTTTCCCCCTGTCCCTTGTCCATCCCCTTTTCCTTGCAAGCCTGTGGACTTGCAAGCCATCTCTTTTCTTGTTTGACTCAACTCAGGGACCCTTTCTGCGTGGCTATCCCACTATTTGACAATTTCAAAATACTTGAAAAAAATGATAAATAATAGTGCCCAAATCTATCAATCCAAAGGTATTACTTGTTTTCATATGAACCATCAATCAGCAGTGGCTTTCAGTGCTTCTCTCTCTCTCTCTCTCTCTCTCACACACACACACACATGCACACACACACACTCACACGTCTTTTTTCACCACTGCTGAAAAGTGTTCATGAGAAGTGCCTTCCATGTTTAGACCAGACCTAATTGTTAATGCAGGTGGTGTTGAACCACTCTAAATAAATCCCATTAAATTCATATTATTCTGAAGTGGCTGAGACTAAGAGCAATAACAGAGACATAAAAACTCTGTATTGTAAGTTATTGGTCCATGAGATAACCACATATAGGTGAATCTATTTCCTCCTTTAGTTTATTCGCCTGTTCCTAAACAAGGTGTGCAGCAAAAACCAGGTTATTGCATTAGACGGAGGACCAAACAAAAACATACAAGCAGTAACATTGTCACAACCTTGTTTTATAAAGTAGATACACCTGATCTTGAGTGCCAGCACATGATCATGTATATAAAATATGGATGAATGAGGAATCTGGTGGGAAGGGGTTAACTCCCCTTCTTTTCACATTTTGTCCCCCTCAGATTCTGGCTCATTAGCCCCACAGTGGTGCTAACTCAGTGCTGGCACTGACTCAAGCCAGTTCACAGTCTTTCACCTATAAGAAAGGCTGTAGTTTGCATATTTTTGCAAACACTAAGGAAATTTGCCCAAACCACACAATTTGTGCAATTTGAGCAAACTGAGAGTGGAAAACTACCGTGCAAATTTTGCTAGAAATTTGCAGCTTCTAGTTTGTGTAAACAGTGCAAATTTGCAGAAATAGCACAATTTGCTAATTCCTGTGCAATTTGCAGGAATTTCCTTCAAGATTTTTTTTTGTTTACAGCGGGTTGTTTATTTTTCCTTTTTTTTAACAGCGCAAACCACAGCCCATCTTACAGATGGAAATCCATGGAAAAAGACACAGCTTGGTCCATTTCCAGCATTGGTTCAGAAGTGGATAGGAAGTCCATCACGCACAGAGGAGCAAGACTCCCCAGCCTCTGCACAGCCCTGTGCAAAAGATACACAGATGCAATGAGATTTTAGATGACAAAGCATCCAGACGCTGCTTGGATGACATCAGCTAATGAAAGAAGCAAAGGAAATCTGAGGAGGTCATCAGCCAACTAGCCAGCTGTTGTGTAAAGCTGCATAAATTAGTACAAAATCCCTCACCAGAGCCTACAAACACCTTATTCTGGATTAACTCCTTAACAGAGTAGTTTCACTCTAAAAAGTGCCACGTTAGGTAACAGTGTCAACCTACAAAGCATGTTTTCTTAGATGCATTACACAGTTCAACTGTCTTTTTCCTCCAGCTGGGTGCTCACAGCCCAAGTCATCTCCATTCCCCACCAGTATAAATGGCCATAAAGTTCCTTTTGTAAAGGTGCAGAAAAAGAGACACAGAGTTAACAAATTCCAGGCGGGTCAAAAGGAGAATGATTTCCTAAGCAGTTCTTATCACTGTTCCCGACCATACTTCCAAAGATACATCGGACAGTTATTCAAACAGTGCCACGGTTGATTTGCTTCACCAAGTTCTAATTTTGGAGCTATTCACGCTTATAGGAATAAATAAACAGCACACAACCTATTATTTACACAGATTTCTTTCTGTCCTCACCTAAAACCAGGGCCCACATCAAAATGCTTATGGTACTTAGCATGCAACAAATATACATACATTTGGCTACCCAACCAAATGACCATGCAGTTGTACCAAGCGTACAAAAAGCCAAGAGAAAACCCTAACAACTCCAGCTGATGTTCTAGCAGATATTCTCATCCCTAACTGGCATTAAGCGCGCCCCCTTTCTTTTCATGCTTCCAACCTAGCAGCGTGTTTATACAATCAGTGTGTATCTCCCCAAGTGCATGCTCAGGCACACATGATCCACGAGCAGTTTCATATCACTGGGTGAAAAGACATATGTCCATTTTGACTAAACAGAACAGGGCAAACACCAGCTTGGCTTTCATAATTCAGCACCACCCTTCCCAACCATGTAAATGCAATGCTAGAGCTTCTACGAGAAAACTTTCCTTCCGTGGTATCTTCCCGCAAAGCAATTTTCCAATAAGAAACTTGTTCGACAAGCCCCTGAAATTGCTTTTAAAATCCTATTTTCCTCCTCAACTGGCTTGCTTTCTTTCTCCTCAAACTTGATATAGAGAATCATCTTCATGCCAAGAATTAGTGGACTGCCTGCATGCCATCTCTTATTTCTCAGCATCTTAGGCAGAACCTCAAAAGGGTCCCCAGAGGTTGGGCAAACAGAATGGGTATGGGGCAGGGAGGGGGGGTCCAAAAATGGCTGTGAAAAGAATCCTTATAAACATGTATGAAGGCCCAGTGCTATTGACACAGCATAGTGCAAACAGCTTATTCCTTTGCAGAATAGTATGACTCATGATATCCCTCTTAAGTTTGCATTTCCCTGTTCTTTCTCAGCTGTTGGAAAAAGCAGCCCAGCAAAGGCTGAAACATATTTTTTGTACATGTATTTTGCTGCGGGGAATGCCCTTCCCTTCTGGCCGCTACATGTACCTTGTCATCTATAAACACCACAAGAGCAATGCAAATAAGGCACAGGCTAAAAATAGCACTACAACTTCTCCATCAGGCTAACAAGCCAAATTACAAGGTTTGTTTCTTTTATGTCATTGGTAGCTGTGGATCCATGCATCCGCCTAACTAATTCCCATTAGGAATGGCACTTGGACCCTCACACAGTGAGGATTCCCATGGAATCCAGTAAAACTTCCACCTAGCCATACTTTCTTAGAACCAAAGCTTCAGTAAAACTTCCACTCTAGCCATTACTGTCTTAGAACCAAAGCCTTAGTTAATGTCTTAGCATAACAGTTGTGGAATGTGTGCTGCAGGTCGGGAGGGGGGACCACTGAGAACTGGAAGGAGGGGAGAAGGGAACGCAATCTGCAACAATGCATAGTCTGTGGTAAGCATTGCATTTTATCATAATCGAAATATTGAGACAAAAAAATAGGGCTAATCTCTACAAAAACATCCAGCAAGCACAAAAGAGACATCGGCAGCTGCTGGTTCCTGGCTGCAATTCCCAAAGTACTGCTGAAAGGCTCAGCAAAACTGTCTATTGTTCCAGGCTTCCAAGAAAGACAGAACACTACATCTTTAGAAACTGCACATTTTTGCCCAGATACACCAAGCACGCACTTTTCCTTCATCAGCAATTCCCCCATGGCCAATGAAACTGTAGCTATTCCGCAAGTTGCACATTTTTTTAAATATATGCCTGTCTGTTTACAGGGAAATTGTGCCTTATTTCAAAAGAACTGGGAGGAAATGATAAGGGATTATGCTGCCAAAAGCAGGGGGTGTGGGAGGGATGAAAAAAGTCCGAAATGGTTTGTACATGTTAGAGAGAGTCAGAAAGAGAGAGAGCAACCAAGTCTTGGTGAGTTTGGATTAAAAGTTTGGATTAAAAATCGCTGTCCCACTGAAACTGGAGCGAAACAAAGTTTTAACAGCAAGTCACTCCGATGTTTTTTCCTCCCTCTGGCTGCCCCCGGGCACGAACACACAAACATAAACCCCGAGCGTAAACAAGAGCGCACAACGATGCCACGAGGGCGAGACCTTGGGGACAAAGTCCAGGCCCTCGAAACCCAGGGGGTCCCCCAAATTACCATTCAGCGCGTGGCAGGTGAGGGAGGCACCGGAGCAAGAGAAAGACACTCCATTTTATTCCTGCAGACATGGTGTCGCTATGATTTAAGTGAGTTTAAAAAGGCAAAAGTGCCCAGAGCCAAGAGGTTTGGGTTTGGCTGTTTTCCTTCTCTTTTTTTTTCCTTCTCATCCACCCGTTTCGTCGCTGTTGTTCTAACATATCACAAGTCCTGTACATGGCTGTCTAAGGGAGGGGGGCGTAAGACCACGCAGTCCAGGGTCCACAATGACCCCGCTGCACCCCGGAAGGCACCCCCGGGGCATCAGCAGAAACAAAGGCGCGGGGGCGCGGAGGAGAGAGATTAAAGAAGTCGTCACCTTGTTGTAGCTGTAGTAACCCAAACACTGGGCAAAGTCCAGATTGGAGGGGTCTCCGGGAAGAGCGCTTCCAGAGGCAGCTGGATAAAATCTTACATCCATGTTGGCGCTGCTCGGAGTGGGGCGGGATGGGGGAAGAGGCGCGGAGCGGGCGGCCGCGCGGGCGAGGCGCTCAGGGCAGGGGCGGCCGGTCCGCGCGGTCCAAGGGGGCGAAGTTCGGAGCGGCTCCAAATAGATCCAGTTTCCCGAGTGCCGCGGGGCTGCGGGGCACGGCGTCGATCAAGTGGCGGCGGCGGCGGCGGCGGCGGGCGGGAGGGCGGGGAGGGAGGGAGGGAGGGAAGGGGCGCCGGCGCGCTTCCTGGAGGACGGGGAGGCGGGGGGCGGCGAGGGGCGGGCGAGGCGCGCGCGGGGCCGGAGGGGGCGCGGCAGGTGAGCGGCGCGGGGGCGCAGGTGAGGGCGCTCTGCGGGCGGCGGCGGCGGCCGGGAGGCTTTGCGCCTGGGCGGGCGGGCGGCGCCGGGAGGCACTCCCCACCCCCTCCGACGGCAGCCCGGGCTCCTGCCTCTCCGCCTCCAGGACCAGCTGCACCACACAAAGGAGCCACGCGCCCGGCGCGGACCAGAAAGAGGGAGCCCAGGCGGCGGCTCCGGCGCTCCCCCCGCAACGCAGGCACACACCCACCCCGCCCGGCTCGCTCGGCTCGGCTCCGCGCCGCCCGCCCGCCCGCTCGCCAGCCAGCCAGCCAGCCAGCCAGCCCGCCAGCCTCAGGAGAAGGGACGGCGACGGGGCGTGCGGGCGGGTGGCCGGGCGGGCGGGCGCGCGCGCGCTCCTCCGCCGCCGCCGCCGCCGCCGGAGCAGCCTCGCGAGGGTCCCTCCCCTCTTCGGAAAAGAGAGAAACGCGGGGGGGGGGAGAGGAGCGAGGAGGCAGAGAGCCAGTCCAAACTCTTGCACTTTGGGGGGGGCGGAGAGGGGGGAGGGTCGCGCGCCTCGCCGCCCCCTTCCCCGCCGCGCTGGGGGAGCCTCTCCAGCGGGGCATTTGCAGCGGGGGGTCTCCCTAGCGCCTCCTGCCCGATCGGGCTGGGGTGGACGCGGGGGCCAGCGGCCCGCCGGCCCGATCCGGGCGCGCGGTGCTCGGACGACCCCGCGCCCCGCCTGGCCGGCGAGGGCGCACGGACGGGCCTTCGCTGGCCGGAGGGGCGCAGGCGGGCGCGGGCTGCGGGATGCGCGCCGCGAGCGGGGCTGCCCCGGTCCGACGGCACTGCCGTGCGATGGACCGACCGCGTGCGCCCTGGGACGTGCAGCGCCCGGGCAAAGGGGCCACGTCTCTCGCCCTGCGCGGTCGGGGGACCGTGGAGGTCCTGCCGCAGCCCTGCGCACCCAGACCATCCTGGCACGTTGGCCGAGCCTCCCTCCCTTGCCCGAGAGAAGGCCGATGACCGCTCGGACGTGGGAACATGCCTGGGCTGCACAGAGTGATCTGACCGAACTTTCCCGTCGCTTGATGTTCCCCCGGATCCGATGCCTCTTGGCAGAGTTCCAGTTCTCACGTTCTGTTCCTGGCTACATCACCTTTGGTTCTTTTTGGAGGGGGGCATCCAACCTTCATGGGTTCCATATACTAATATTTTAACATGGCAATTATATCTCACCTTTCTCCTCTGGTGAGGAACCCAAGGCAGCTTAGCCAGCTACATTTCATCCTCACAACAACAGCCCTGGGAGGTAGGTTGCGCTTAGTGTGAGCCACTGGTCCCAAGTCACCCAGTGATCTTCATGGCCATTTTGGGACTAGAACCTGCATCTCCCAGTTCTCCAGCCCTCTATTTGGCCCACGATGCCACACTGGCTCTCAAAGTAACATCTGAAAGGGGCCCACCTCTCCATCTAGAGCGCTTTCTCCACATGCTGCTGAACACGTGGGAACTGGCATGCAGAGGTCTCATTCCCATGTTAGTGTACATAACATGTGAACAGATCTGTGGGTGAGAAGCCAAGTGACATGCATGCAGGCACATAGCTTTCTATTCACTTAGCTACCCCCTCAGCCCATCCTGACACACAACCCAATGTGGCTCCATCCATCCTTGGTTCTCATCAAGGAACAGCACATAACAGCCCTTCTCTAGCATGGTTCCCATCCTCTGGAACAAACACCGCGTGTCGTTCTCATGAACCAGACACTGGGGTGAGTTTCAGGTGCCTCTTGAAAATGTACCTGTGCACTCCCCACCGTGCCGTGTGTTATTTTACTGTAACATTCTTCGTATATTTATTGCTGTTTTTATGATGGCTTTTATTTTGTATTTCATGCCTTTGTGTAAAAAAAAAAGCTTAGAGAGTTTATAATATCAAAAGCTTAGCGAGTGTATCAAATCAAGGAGTATATAAGCACTTCAGATAAATAAATAAGGGTGGGTGTTCTTTGAAAAGCCTTGTGATGGAGGTGCTACGAGAGGAGAATGAAAGTTCTGTCTGCTGAGGCTTGTTCTCGCGCACAAATCCCTTTTGATGCTGAAGTCATCCAGCGATGGTTGTGCATGCAGAGAAAAACATAAAACTTTTTCCAGGGAGGCGGTTGATGTTTGTAATGAGAAAGTGATGCTGTAATGAGCACACATCAATTGAACTAGACATCTGAAGGGTGTCTTGGTGATCTGGGTGTGGGTAAGTATTGGACATCGTATGTGCATTATGGATTCCCCACACAGAAATGGTTTAGAGTGGGAAACATTATGCATCTTGTACCTAGACTGCCCAGGCTGAGAAAAAGGAAGTGTGGAACCATGCGGGTGCGGATACGTATTACTATTGTTCAAATGTGGTGAAGACTGGGGAGGAAAAGGCTGCAATGACGTCTGGAAGGAATGTACGGCTACGTAGAAATCAGGGAAGGGACCATGCAGATCTAATAAAGAAAGGACAAGAGTATGTGTGTGTGTTAGGGAGAAAGATGCTCCAAAGAAGGGTCAAGGAAGCATTTGGCACAACGTTGTGGGCTTTTCTATTAGCTCAATTGCCACCTTAAAACCATTTTCCAAAGCACCTGTTTGTTGACAATTCATTTGGGAGGTTTCCATTTTTCCTTCCCAGCAACCTACTCTATTGCCATGCTTCATTTTGCATTCTAAAGAGCCAGTTGGTAGATCTAGAAAACTTTTTTGGTACAAGTGAATACTTTCCACCACTTTCCCTTTAAAAAGAAAAGAATAAATTGCAGCTTCAACATGCCTTGCGTTCTGCTTTATTGATTCATACTGTAGTCTGGCTACCTCATTTTAGAGGAAAGCTACAAGCTCCATTTTTCCTATATTCTCCAAGTAGGGTTAAAAACACACAATCTCTTTATCTCTGTCTCACACACAAACACACACTGGCCCACTTGTACACGTTTTTCTGCTCTGTGGTGCCAAGTAATGAACGCCTGTAGGAAGAAGCAAGAGGCTTTCCTCCTAAATAGCAGCACTTGGCAGTCGCATGGAGCCAGCAGAAGCAAAGCAACAATAGCAAAACTCCTTCGCTCCTTGGTCTATGCCCACACAGGCAAACGGAAGGCCAGTGCCAATGGAGAGCCAAGGAAGGGCCTCACAGGGGGTCACTATGGACTTGGTCCTCTCCCATTGGCCCAGGAAACAGGGTAGCAAGGAGGAGCAGGAGCAGCCGTCCCTGCTCTTGACTCCACCCTGCCAAGCAAGCGACTGGCGGCCCTGTTGAAAAAGGGTGAGAAGCGAAAGCTGCTGGTGGAATACTTTGGGCACATCATGACGCTTCCATAGAAGCTTCCATATAGCCCAAAGTACCTGGTCCTGTCTAACCTTGGAAGCTAAGCAACATCAGGACGGGTTAATATTTGGATGGGTAAGCTGAGTCCTGCACACAGGAGGTTGGGCCTAATGGGCTTCTAAGCCCTGTCCAACCGTATGATTCTATGACTTCCTGCAGAAGACAAGCGTGGAGAGGACCAAATATGAGACGGGTGGATGCCATGCAGGAAGCCAATGCTGGGCCTTTAGAAGAGCTGTTGAGGGGCCCATGCTCCTCCCCAAAGCCAGAGTTGGCACCGCCAAAACAATCCTTCGAAAGTAGAATGGCCCATTTTGCCAAGAATTTTAGGACCGATTTTGGGGCTCTTGGCTGGATCATGTCCCGTGGAGTAGATTGGCCTCTCCTCCTCAGTGAGTTTTGGGTGCCTTCATTCTTCATTTTTATTTTTATTCAACCATCATTTTAATTATTGAGGTTTTTAGATTTTTAAAATCTTTTTTTCCACAGTCGCATTTTCTATTCTTTCCCTCCTCCTCTCTTTCCCTTAGTTTTATGATGTGCTGCTTTATATTGATTTAATACCTGCTGTTTTATCATTGTCTTATTGTAATATTTTAAATCGTAAGCCATCCTGAGCCATTCATCAGAAAGGACAGGATATAAATGTTTGTTTAAATTACATTAAAATTAAATTTCTTGTCTCACCTTGTCAGTGCACTGCTAAATCTGATGGCTGTCCTGTTTACTGCGGACACACCTGTTTAACTTATCCAGGAAGAAGGAAAAAGTAAGCAGGGAGAAGGAAAGCAAAGACACTGGCCAGGAAAAGTAGTGAGGGTGATATTTTGGAGAAGAGAAGAGAAGAGAAGAGAAGAGAAGAGAAGAGAAGAGAAGA